GTTCTTTTATGTATGTTTAGGCGTGTCTGCTTTATTGAATAACTTTAAAAGAGCTGCACAGAAAGAAAACTGATGAGGGAAGTAAATTCTGTTCTGCCTTATGCATCCATTAAATTGCTCACTAATTTTTCTGAATGCATTTGCAACCCAGCTGACATCTGATCGTTAGGAATACTGTTGAAATCCCAGCTGAGTTTATAAAGATGACCAGTTAGGAAAACAAATCTTATTAAGCAAATGCGTTCTAGTTGGAGAAATACATAGGAGGGCAGTGAGGTGGACTGAAATTGTGGCAGGGATAGACAGATACTGTCTCTCTGACCTATTACAGCTGCCGTGGGCTGGATTGATAAATGTATAATGAAGGGTAAAAGTTTGTCCAGTTGTTTTCAGTAGAGGCTCCAAGACTTGTATTTGCTGCTGTGTGGGAGGAGAGATTGAATTAGGTGCTATGTTTGATAGGATTCTACCTAAATAGAGTTGAAGGGACCTGAGGAGGCTCGCAGAGAAACCTGAAGCAGGAAAAGCATCCAGTAAACTTGGAAATGTGCTGGAATATGTAATGTGAGCAAAGGCCAGAAGGGCGCCGCACAGCTGGCGGCCTGGGATCTGGTCAGGAGCTCAGGGCAGCTCTTCTGCCTGGGAGCAGGAGGTGGGAGGTGGGAGAGGAAGCACAGGAACAATGCACGGCTGGTCGTGCCAATCTCTGCGTTTCCTTACAGCTTTAGGAACATCTTCATCCATTTCTCGTTGTCTTCAGCTTGTTTCTCTCGTCTTATGTTCTTGGCTTACTGAATGCTTCCCTGATTCCTACTGTCAGGTTTATATGGAAGGCTCAGCTTGGGAATCAAAGTTTCAGAGACTAAAGGAGAGGGAAGGGTTGCAGTGCCTGGACAGCGGTTGGGAACTGTAGCACAGAAGGGAACTTCATGGGTGGCGTATTGGGGGTATGCTTGACCTGAACTGTGTGTACTTACCTTAATCTGTGTCGCTTTTAAATGCCTGTGAGTTCCTTCCATTTTCACGTTAAGCCTTTAATATTTACTTAGACAAATACACAATGACATTTAATTATATAAAATAGCATTTGGTTTCTTTTTCATTCACTTCTTTCTGACTCCAATGTTAGAAGTATGGGAAAAGATGTGGCTTTTAGTTGAAAGATTTCTAATGCAACATGTGAATAATGATCATGTAAATCATTTTTCAAGAGGTTAGAACTGTTAGCAAGTCGAACCCAAGTGCTCATACAGAGTAACTATTTTATGTCCTTGTCAAAAAAGTCTGCCTTTTGATCAGTGAAAGAGTATTTTGAGGTGCATGGCAGCCTTTTTTATTTTTTCCACCAGAGCTCCTTACAGTGAATATAATTGTTCTGAGAGGAGGTGAGACTTTAGAGTGCCTCATTTGATGGTACTCTGCTTTGCATTTCCAGAAATAAGTCAACCACGAGCACGTGGAAGAGAGAATGGGTTAAACTTGCATTGACAAGCACTGTTGGTCGACTTTTTTTTTTTTTTTTTTGCCTGGAATTGGGAGTGGCCATCAGGGCTGATCTTTGTCCTTGCTGCTTTCCATACAGTGAAGCAGTTAAAGAGCAGATTGGCTGAGCTGTGAGTGCAGGACGGCAGAACTTCTCCTTGGGCTGTGCGTGTTTGCTCCGCACACGGAACCACCGCTGCATGGAGGCTCTCTGCTGGCTGGCAGAGGTCACCTCAGTTCTGCATGGGAATCAAACAAACAGGACGTGGTGTATTGGAAGAAAGATTTGAAAAATGCAGAATTGTGACTATAGCTGTTCAGACTGTGAGCACTTTGTGCGTTTTTTTGCTAAGGTTGAGAGTGTGGTGTAGAAGAGAGCAGGGTGTGGTTGGGTGCTGGGAACACCAGGGAACGTCTGCTTGAAGCCAGGCTGATGGTTGTATTGCCCCAAATGGACTTCCACACAAAGCACAAGTGAGCTCTGCCCCCTCTCATCTGACACACAAATAGATGAATGTGATTGAAAAGGAAACAATTTTACACAGAAGCACTGATAATAAACTGTAGTACCGCCTGGCTTATATTCTACACAGCTGAGAAGGTATGCTGGGATTTCAGCTGCTGTTCGTGCTTGTTCTTGCAGTTTTTTATTAATGATTTACTGTAAGTTGCTGTCAGAGAAGGTTATCGATAGACTCTTGGCCTTGCTTGTTGTGATTTAGTGGTATTGGTGCTGCCAGTGGTATGATAGGTTATAGGAGCGCTCTGTGGATGTGTGGAAGGAGTAATGTTGGTCAGGATTCAGTGTGTGTGAGAGAAACCTATGGATTAATACCAGAGATTGAAGTGCTTCAGCAGTGTTATCTACAGCAATTCATCTAATGGCAAGCTTTTGCTTTAACTGAAAGCAAGCATTGTGTTTTCATGTGTCACATACCTTACTTTTTGTGATGCTGCATGCAGAGGAAGGTGATAACCGAAGAGCAGTTTGTTTGTCTGATGGAATTAGGAGCCATCTGCAGGCTGCGTTGGCACACAGCCTTCCCTGCTCTGCTCAGGCCAGGAAATAAACTCAGGCACAACTCTGAATTTCCAATTTGAAACCTATCATCTGTATGCTACTTGAAAAGGGTGGAGATGAGCTTAAGCATCTTGCTTTAATTTGCAGCTCCTTTCAAGCAGATTTTTGTAAACCCTCCTGTAATGGTGACGCCCACGAGTGAGATTGTTTCGCAGTAGAAGTTACGTAAGTACCAAAATACTTGCTTAGAAAGTTGGAGAGGATGCGGAGGTCCTTCCTGTAACAAGAGTGAAGTATCTTGGTTTGGTGGTTCATGGGAATAGCAAAAGCACAACGCTTGTAGGACTTAAACAGCAGTTCAAAGTATCACGTCTGTGAGTTGTGCTGGCCTGTCTGCGTGCGCGTGGGAGATTGCTCCTTAGTGAACTGCTCTGATCACTGGTAATCCCAGGGCTACCAAAATAGCAGGTTAAGAGGTCTGCATGCGTGTTGGTGGTCGGAGTTTTGCATGGAGTTTCACCATGCTTCTGGCTGCGCTGAGATACAAAGCTGCCTGTTTTGCTGACTGCTGATAGGCTCTTTCATTTCTGGAAAGTCCTGGAAGCCTTTCTCTGAAGTGAAACCTGGTCACTGTAATTCAGTTGTGGTTTTACTTCTGAACTCAGACCTCCTTCCTGCTACGGAATGGATACAGAATTCTGTAGCCTTGGTTTATCTGGCTCCCTTTAAGGACAAGGAACAGTTTTGTATGGGTTTTGCCGCTTGGTCCTTTTTGCACTTCAGTGTGAATCATTCTTGAGGTACATTAAATCAACATCTTTCAACGATACTACTTGCCTCTGTCAATAATTTGACAAGGCTTAATTGCTATGCAGGTTGTTTGTAAAGCATATTTATTCAGAGGGTGAAGTAATTAATCTTACATAAATATATTCAACTGTGCACTGACTGTCCCTGTTTTATCCTCCACTTACGCTGAATTGTGTGGTAGCAGCCTCAGAAGGTCACATCCGAAGGAGTCAGACCCGTGCTGAGTTCAGCACAGAAGGCAAATTGTTTTGTCTGCAGCAGACGTTCCATGCTGCAGTGTGCGCACTGAAAAATTACCTGTTAATATAAAAACAGCTCTTGATAGGGTGGCACTTGTGTTGTTTGCAGTGTTGTGACGCTTAGGAGATTGTGGCTCTGGATGTGGTGCTCACGGAGCTTCCAGGTCTGTATTGCGTGTGCCAGAACTCTGTTCTTTCATCAACAACAACATCTTGTTTCAGATAGATCCCCTCATTCTCGTATCATTGTTTTCTGTTCTATTAAAAGGAATTACCTAGAGGATGAAAATGTGATGATTCTTACTGTATCCCTTTTCTTTGTTTATATTCAGCTTCTATCAAAACAGCCTTATACTCGCACACACAAAAAAGGCATACCCTGCATGCTCAGCAGAGTAAAGAATGGCATAGCAAATGCAACGAAAACCAGAATTGTTCAAAGAATGGAACCATACCCAGGCAAGGAAAACAAACCCTGATAAGTCAATTATAAAGGCAGAATGAGGCCTGCCTGAAGGGATCCTGAGAAACGGAATGGCTTGAAAACAGTGACAAATCATTTCAAATGTTTCGGGAGTGGTAGACCTGTCAGTTTTCTGCTGGTTAGGTGAGATGGTTGAAGGGAGAAAAGCCATGACAAGAAAAATAGTTTTGTTGTGCTGCTCCCCAGTGTGGGGGAAGTTGAAGTTCCATCAAACTGATGTTTACACATTCAGAAGAATTGATAAAATCAATAGCAAAAAATTACTGGTGTCATGTGGCATTTGTCAGGCTGGAAACCAAAGGGAAAAGCTTCAGAGGAGCTGTGTTACTGGGGGCAGAGACACTGGGGTGCCTGTGGGACCCTTCTGTACAAGCGTCTCGTTATTTGTTCTGCTCTCATTAAACCATGTTAAAAATGAATAAGAAAAGAACAAAGCCTGGTGTTCTCTGTTAGAAACCCATGGTATACCCCCTCTTGAACCTTCCATAAAAGCCTGATGTCTTGGAAGGATTGAGTTCATAGGTGTGGGGAAAAATGACAAGGATTGCCATTGAATATCCTTTCATTCTGCTCTCTGAGTGGGGAGAGCATTCCTTACAAATGCTGGTTTTGCTTCTTTCAGCTTTTGCCGAGACATAAATATCAGGGATGATTTTATTTAATAACCTGATGGTTTGTGAGGCTGACTTTGAGTTTGTAGACGAAGCTTTCCTATCCTGTCTTAGTACTTCAGTGCCTCTCGTGGCATTGAAGATGGAGAGCGTGGGTAAAGGGGTTTAACTTTTTTATGGTTTGGTTTTAGATGATTAAATTATTTCTGCCTTGCTTGTGATCAGAGATCAAATAGCTTTTGGCACTTATGCAGTAGTTGCTCTGTTTCTCTTTTTGTTCTTCTCTCTAGTCATTATTTATTGTGTTTCTGCCACTTGTATTGATGGTTGTGTTTTTGTATTTTTTTTTTCAGTGACTACAGTTCCTGTCTCACCTCTTTGATGGAAGAGGACTATGACCCAGAAGTGAACTCTCTACTGTAGAACAAGAAGCTCTTGTGGAATAATTTGTCTCCCTTTAAAAGCAGTACCCAGTCTAGAAAAAATAGAGTAGAAGAGATTATTTTTTGACCTAGCATTTTTCTGTTCATATGACCTATATTTCAGCATGTAAATGGTGAAAAACAGGAATATAAACATTTGTGCCTGCTTTTGAGCTTTTACATCAAGTAGTGCTTAGCTTTGTGGAGCATTAACCAAGCTACGTGAAGTCTAGAGTATAACCTAACATTCATTTAAAAAAAAAAAAACTATACTTTTTTTTTTTTTTTTTAGCCAATGTATCTGGTAAAAATGAAGTTTATCTTTTAAGAGCACTTTGGCGGATGCTTCTTATTTAGATCTGAGCATTTGGGGCAAGCTTTTTCATACGTGTTGATCCTTTCTTCAGAGTGTTTGGGCTGATCTGCTGCAGACCATGAGCTGCCCAGCAGACTTGGGTGTACGTGTTCAGTGTTAACCATGGCGCTGTTCTGAATGCTGTCATTCAGGCTTGGCAAACCTTTTTGTAATGTAACTGACTTCTGTAGTAGCACAACTAGAGGATATTTAATGAGGTGAACGTGGTCGTGGCTTTTTTTAAAATATAAATTACCTTCTTAGGTTGTTTTTTTTTTTGTAGTGAGAGTGCAAAAAGAGGTTAAAATGAGCAGCTGAGGGGGTGGAGGGTACAGTTGGCACGAAGTGCGGCCTCTCGTGCTCTGCTTTGAGACGCACTATTGCCTCAAGGCTGGCCTTAGAGTATACTGGAGAAGAAAGGAACCAGAAGGTTGTTGAAGCAAAGGAAAAGTGAGAACATTGGACTGGAGAGGCCAAACTCTGGGTGAGTTATCGTATTTATTTTTTTTCCTTTGCTTATGTAGTATTGACTTGTTTGTGGCTGAACTGAAGGTTGTAAAAATCAACTAACGCTGTAAACCAGGGAGCCTTCTATTAAAGGGCGAAATTCAGTTATGTAGAGTAGTAGTAGAGTTATGTTTGCTTTAAGCAGAGAAACTTGCTGTGACAAGCTGGAAAGAAAATTTGGTTTCGGGTTTCTCAGTGGGAGACACATCTGCTGCTCTTTGGTGGAACTTCCATTAAGATATAGAGCTTTCAGCCAGCTTGTGTTCTGCTCCTAAGCACTTGGTTTCTTTGCTGTGAAAGCAGTTCTGACATAAGACGTTCTGTGGAGTGTGGAAATTGGTGTGCTGGGGTACAGTCTTAAGCTGGGGTGCAGGAGCTGGGCTGCGATGGATCCTTCAGGACTCTGATCTTCTCTCAGTGTCTCTGTCAGCATTGTGGGCTTGTGTTCACTGTACAACCTTTGCAATAAAATCGGAAGTGATCACTCTTGTGTGGGCTGTGAGACAAAAAGCAGTGAAGGAACGTACCAAATTCTGGCACATTTCAGTTTTACAGATCACTGATTGCTGTTTGTTCTGTCTTCCTCCATCTCCAGACCTATCCTATCGTGGATTTCATGGGTGTGGCTTTAGAATGGAATTATAAACAGGAAGTAGGTGGGAATGTTTTAAGTTCTTACCTGTTTTGTTCAGAGGAACAAAGTCAGCAGGAAAAAAGTCATTTTCAAGCGCAGTACAAAAAATTAGAGTGCTTTTTCCCCTCTTAGTAGTGGAGAGCAGGTTTGAGGTTCTGGAAGAGATGTGAGTCAGGGAATGTTCTCTTCATTTACAGATCCTGGCCATGAGGTTTGATGCCTCATTTTATTGAAGGGAGACACTGGACCTAAATGGCGCAGCATGACTTTGTTCCTGCCTGGCTTAACTTCTCAACACCACAGTCAACCAAGGTAACTCAGTTACAGATTGCTTGCTCTCAGAGCTATGGTAATGTTTATACACTTGTCCCAGTGTTAGATTGAACTTAAAATGTTTGTTGTTGCTTTTTTTACTACTTTTTTGATTTTGAGGGAAGTCTTTTGGAAACATTAAGGTGGAGGTCTTTTTTTGTTTGTTTCCACAAATGTATCCCTTCCATTTCAGAGGAGGAAATATCCTTTGCATTCAGACATGGAAGAAGTTCAGTGTTACTGTGTTGAGAATCGAATGGAATCCCAAATAGAAAATGATTAAGAACCCTCCCCTTCCCCCCAGTAACGTGGAGTGGTCAAGACTTGAGCTGGCACTCACGATACAATTCTTTGGATTTCATTTATGAAAGTGGCCATTGCTGTGGCCATTGCTGTGCAGTACACTGATATGCCTTGGACTCCAACTCCAAATTCAGAAATACTCACTGGTTTGTTCAGGGCTTTTTTTTGTTTGCTTTATTGTTTTTGTTTTTTACATTTTTAATGTGGAGGTATCTTCTGATTCCAGGAAAAGCTTCGGTTGACCCAGGAGTTCTCTTTTCAGGTCTCTTTTCTTCAGTGACTTTTACATTACTTGCAAATGACAATGGTGAAAAATATTTTAATGGTTAATCAGGTCATGATGGACCAGGTGGTTGTTAATGGTGTTGGCTAAGCTGCACAGATATGCATGCTATATTGAGAACTAGAACAGGAATGTGGGCTTGGGAGTGCTTTCTTACATCATCTTTTTCTTTATACAGTCCCCTGCAGCCACCTTTGAGAAACATGGAGAGCATCTTCCACGGGGAGAAGGACGCTTTGGGGTGAGCCGAAGGAGACACAACTCTTCTGATGGATTTTTCAATAATGGGCCCCTCCGAACTGCAGGAGGTAAATATTGGATTGCAGTGCAGTCTGAGAGCAGCTATTTTGGAGTATTTTACGGAATTTAGAGTTCTGTGGAGTAGAAATGTTTTTCAAAACTGTATCTTTCAAAACATCCCATGAGAAATTTGCGCTGTTCTGTTCTCCCATGACACGTGCCAAGGCCTTTAGGGGTTTCTGTGGAAGCTGTATGTGCACTGTGTGGCTTGGTTGATTTTTTGGGGGATAGTCACACAGTTGTTGAATAAGCTGGGCCTAGGAGTGACTTAGTGAACGCTAACTTAACAAGAAAAGCATTCTGCATGCAGTGTTGACGTTTTATTATTTGAATACTTATCTCCTTTTGTTTAGACTGCTGGCATCAGCCATCCCTTCTCCGCCATGATTCTGTAGATTCTGGTGTTTCTAAAGGAGCTCATGTTGGGCTTTCTGGCAGTCAGCCTGGCTGGCATGGTCCCTCGCGGGGCCATGATGGCGTGAACCAGCGTGGTGGAGGAGGAACTGGAGTTCATCGCCACTGGAATGGCAACTTCCATTCGCGGAAAAGTTCTGCCTTTCAAGAAAAGCTGCCTGTTGAAGCCAGGGAAGAGAAGAAGGAAGACAAAGAGCATTTGCAATTTGAGGAAGAAGATTTTGTAAGTGTGTAGCTTCTCACTACAAGTGGCAGCTGTGAGAAGTTGGCTTTTCGGATTTCATTTTTTATTATCATCGATAGATGGCTAGGATCTAGAGTTGCATTCCATTCCATGCTTGAGATCCCCACAGATTTAACAGTGATTCCAGTGCTTGCAGGACACTAATTGATACCCAGAGACCGGGGGACTCGATGACCTTGTTGCATTGGTTTTGGCACAGTATTGGATTTTGTGGCAGTTTTGAACTTGAAGGCAGCTTTGTAACTCAAGCATTCAGATCTTCGTTAGAACTCAGAAGATGACGCTTTGATCTGCTACAGGAATGGTAGCTATGTTTTTGCCCTTGTGGCTTTGCTTACAAAGCCCTTTTTGCTCCTAAGAACATCTGTATAGCTTATCTTCAGTCTTGCTGTTCCTGTCTCCTGTTCTGGTACATGCTGGTGTGTGTGATAACCTCCCTCAGCTTGATCACGATGCGTGCCCAGACCTTTGCAACCATCTTTTTTAAAACCTCTGGAATAGCATTTTTTTGACTGAGATATTTTCTAATCTCTGTGAATCATTGTTTCTTCAGCCATCTCTTCCATCAGTGTCTACAGTTCATCCACCTTTTTCCAGCGTTCTGATCCCTGTGGTATTGTTAGTTGTAACAGTCTTTTTTATCCTGGCTCTGTTTTTACTGGAATACCTTTAGTTTTCAAAACTGCTCCAAGTGTGAAGATGTAAGCACCGTTTCTGCTCTTGCTTTCCAATTTAGTTTCTTCTTGTCCTTTTGTCACCCCTTAAAAAAATCTTATTTTTATCAGACCTTGATTTTTGCTTTTTGCATCTTGTTTTTCACTTTCCTCCAGGCTCTCGTTGATCAGTGTAACGAGGCCAGTGTTATCTGTACCTTTCTGGTAACTCAGTCTCTCCTCCTAATGTGATTCCTCTAACTGCATCATCAGTGCTCAAGCCATTACTGCTTCCAGTCAAGAGAGTTTCTAGTGATAGTGTGCACACTTACGTAGATCCTCTTGAGCTTTTTGCTTCCTTCTTCAGTTTTTATTTTTGGAAGGTTGTTTATGTCTGAAATTCTCATGGCAGTTTGATGTTACTGCTTCTGTTTGGAAGGTTAGCAGTTGGAGTGAAATATATGAATGCCATGCAGATGCTTCAGGACAGAATCTAGTGTCTCAGCTTAAATTGCTCCAAGACCCAAGTTAGATTTAAACTGCTGGGTTTTTCACTGGAGTGCCCAGGCAGTGATTGCATGCTCTTGTTCAGCTGCTTCTGCTGTAGGAGTGGTAGCCTGCATCAGAGCTTAGTTAACACCTGGAGATCAGTGATGAAGCTTACCTGCAGATTTCTGTTAATCTGATTTCTCAAGCATGCTATAAGCTGGTTCTTTAGGCAGACAAAAGCCTCTTGAAATGTAGAAAGTTATTGTAATGATTGCAGCCACACTGTTGTAGTCAATCTAAATCTTTCTTCATTCTCTTCAGTACCTTGAGAAGTGTCTTTTTCCAACCAGGTGGCTGTTTCTTCTGTAAATATGTTTTCCTTCTTTTTTCTCTGAAGAAGATAATACCTTGCATCTGCTGTCTAGAAGCAAACTTTGCTAGGCAGCTCTCCTGTCGCCTTTGCTATGGTGTGACACTGAGGTACACCGTGGTTAAGTGTGCAGCTTTTAGGCCTGTGTGGCTGACAGACCCTGACCCCGTAAAACAGGCTGCTGTTCTGAGTTCTGTGGTGTGAGCAGCACTGCTATAAAACTGCCCTGTAACTAAGAAGTGAAGCGCTGGAACAGGAATTCCTAGGGTCTGAGGAAGGCATTCATGCTATGGTGTAACATTTGTTGCTAATTCTTATAGAACAGGAATGGCTACTGCTTCAGAATCTCGTTATTGGAGACTTAGTCTATAGCTGTAGTAACTAACGTGAAGGATACATAAAAAAGAGGAAAAAGTGGCTTTTTTCTTTTTACTGAACTTATTTGGTACAGGGGAAGAGGAATAGCTGATTGGGAATACTTGTCATTGAATGCTTGGATTTTCTGTACTCTTTTTTGAGCTTGAACATGTCCTTAGTTGTTCCACTGAGTTCTGATACTGAATCAAAGGTAAGTCTGCAGAGAATAGTGGGTCTGAATGCAGTTGCCCTGAAAAGTGGATTCTAAAGCTTAATGTGAATAGTTTAGCTTTTTTGTCTATAAATGTATAGATTTTTTTCATTTTTCTTTTTTATTAGGAATCTAATATTGCCAGGCTGATGATTAAATGCCTGACTCTTTTATGGGTATATCAGTTTATTGTGTAGTAGAATGCTGAAGGGCCTCTCCTCAATTTTCTAATGGTTCTGTTGGAAATACTGCAAAGCAAATGAGAATATGAGCTTTTTAGGTGTCTTCTGACAGAGTGCTCTTCTAACTCGGGTGCTGCTCAAGAGAAATAGACTGTGGTTTCCTAGAAGCATGTTATGTTAATACAAAAGCTTTATTTGTTATGTGCAATATAATGAATATACTCACTTGCATGTTCTGTGTGTTTACAGCCATCTTTGAATCCAGAGGCAGGAAGACACAACAACCAGAACAAACCTTTAGGGACACCTTCCGGAGTTTGGGGTAGGTAAAGTTATCTACATTGCTGTCTGCAATGCTGATATCAAAACAGAAAGTGATAAATATTATTAACTGTATAAATAATTCTGCTCTAGAAAATGTGTTTGACCTGAGAAGTACTAATTGCTTGTTTATGTAAGTGCTGCACCTTGTAAGGTGCAAGTTACACAAAATATTTTTTGGTGAGTTAACAGCTGATCCGTGGCTGCTCAAAAAAGTATTAATCTGTTCTGATCTCTGTTTTATAGTGGGAGGTTGTTAGCTGGCATCACTGTTGGCTTTTCACTTACGAGTCAAGGGAGCTGTTGTGGTTAAGTGAAAAAAGATTGGACTTTAATGTCCTTATCTGATATCCTTTCTCAAAACTGAAACAAAAGCGTATCAGCTGTAATGTCTGAGGTTTGGAAGGGAGAAACTGGAGCGTTATACTGAAGCTGTTATGAAACAGAACATTTGTATTTCAAATTCTTTGTTTTGTTTTGACAGAAAACCCCCCTAGTGCCAAGCAACCTACCAAGATGCTGGTCATCAAAAAGGTTTCAAAAGAGGATCCTGCTGCTGCCTTCTCAGCTGCATTTACATCACCTGTTTCTCACCTGGCAAATGGCAACAAAGCCACCACCATTGTCCCAAGTGTCTACAAAAATCTGGTTCCTAAACCTGCAGCTCCTCCTTCCAAGGTACAAGAGTTTCCAGCCAAGTTAACTGTGGATCAAGGGAAAAGTCTCTCTGGACATGGGAACTACAGATGCTTTAGAAAATTTGTAGGATTGATATTACAAGTATTCAAGAAGTTAAGGAAAATTATTTGTTTTTTAAAAACAGTGTGCAGATGCTGGAGTTCTAAAATATGTTAATTGCTAATGCTGGCTGCTGCGTTGCTGCAGAACCTCTGTGATTAGTGTAGGTGTTACACTCTTCAAAGATGAAAATGTAACAACTCTTTCTACGTGGAAGCAAACCCAGAATTTCCTACCCTTTCCTAAGTTCTTGATTCAGACCAAATTCTGCCAACTTGAGGAGGAATTCTAATAGCTAAAATGATTATCAAGTGGGGTAATCTAAACCTTTATTCCTTTACATGGGATAAATTGGGCTAACATGAAGTTATCAGTAGAAGAGTTTTCTGTTCACTGGATCAACCCATTATTTATCTCAGTCCATATCCATACTTGTTCAGAATAGCTGAATAAGATGCAGTTGTAGTGCAGTGAGTAATGCAGCTGTCACTTGTCCTTGTACAGCTTGGATGATAAAAGTATCCAGACAGCCTTAGTAGTTTTTAATCTGGATGTTTTAAATGGTGTTTGAAACAAAAAGCCAAAGGTGCTGTTTGTCCAAACCATTGCATTGTCTCTTTGATTGCTTCAAAGAGTGAAAAGGAGTGCAAACAGCTTTTCTAACTTTGCTGCTGTTTTTGTGTGTAAAGATAATTGTGAGGTTTGAAAACTAGTGCTGTGCTGGCACTAGAGCTCAAGAGATTGAAATGTGCTTCTGAAAGCTGTATAAAGGTCTGCTGTGCTGCTACATGTGTACCCACTGCCTTGGAATTGTGGAAGTCAAACATAAATATTTTCATAGCTGTTAGTCCTTGCCGTGTTGTTGCCATTGCACTTGTTTTCATTACTTCTAAAACCATTTGCAGAAGTTTTTCTGTTAATTCAATCTGGAAGAGCTGCTCTTAAGGCTTTTCCAAACTGTTCTCTGAAATTACCCTTTAAATTTTAATTTTTTATTGAAACAAAAAAAAAAAAGCATTAATCTGTGCTCGCAGTTGGAATAAACCCTTTAATTTTCATAGATAATTTAGAAAGTATGATCAGGCTTTTGCAGACAGTCTTGCGACTGTGATACGGAAGTTCAACTGATGTTAAAAGTGCAGGGTTTGTTTTTGGGGGGATTTTGAGTTTTGACATCTTTCTCACTTGTGTTCCAGCTTATACATCTATATTTAATTCAGAATTATGGCCATGTGTTACGGTAGCTGCCTCACTTTCCTTTTGGTGAAGGATATTCTGTTCAGAACAGTTACTAGGTGTGGGTTACACCTGGATTCATGCTGTAGATGTGACAATACTGATAACACATTACAGGCTATTGTGCTACTGGAGCAGGTATTGACTCGTGATGCGTGGCAGCTCCCAGCAGATCACCATCGTGTTAATTGTGATATAAACATGTTTTCTGGTCAGTAAGTGTGCATGCATTGAAACGGTGCTGGGATTGTAGAGGGAGTGTGGTGCTGCTCACTGGTGGGGATTGCAACAGCTAGGAGTTGTGCTGTCTCATCTTGTGTGTTAGTGAATGATGACCACTGATAGAAGGAGAGGTGGAGATCTGCGTGTCCTTAGGTAGAAAACCAGTATGCATGATGCCTTGTTCTAAAGGTAGAGACAGAAGGAAGCTGTGGTAGGGTACGTCATTCTGAAGACTCCAGAAAGTTGTGTGGAAGTTGTAGTGCATAAAGCATTAGAGTCAGAACGCTCCTTTTGGTGAAGTCAGCAGTACTGGAAAGCTGTCAGAGGCAAACGGGATGAAATATGCTTGTTAGCTGTACCGAAGGAGGAGAACACAGTGGCAGTGATAGAGGCACGTTCTTCCTTTAGATGTGGCTGAATTGTTCACAGTTGAGCGGTGAGTGAAGGGCATAATATGCGAGCGATTCCTTTTGGTGCTCAGCTGTGGCTGTTGTCCTTGAATCCAGCAGTCTCTCTAAGAAAGTAACAGTGATCAGTGTTTGAATTTGCGTAAGCTGCCACTTTGTGGAAGGTGGGAGAATAACAATTAGCAGCCAAGAGCCAGGTGCCTGAACGAGTGCATCCCTGTGAGTATGCAGAGGGAAGCTTCCTCTCAAACTAGTTCTCCACTCCTAAGAAACTTATTACAGGCAATATTGTGGAGACCAGGGTCTTTTTGGGGTTTGAAGGGGATGTTCAGAATCTAGTATGAGTGCTGAATTATTTATTCAGCACTGTGGACTACTTCTAAGGTTGGTGTGGAAGGCTGCTAATGAGACCAGAATGATGACGATGCGTTTATTTTAAAAGGGATAAAGCAGCCCATAGGGAAATTGTGGCTTCTGCTTTCATTGCTCCCAGAATACAAGATCTATTTTATGTCAGATACAACTTAATCACACTGTGCATGAATTATTTTGCTATCAAGATGGCTTCAGAAGCGTAATGGTTCAAAGGAACCGTTATGCCTTAATGCTTTGACAGATGTATTTTTTACGCTGCTTGATACAAGTCATTTGTTAGAATCATTGCAGTAAGAGCTGCCACTTCAGTGTTTGTCCTTGGTTGCCAAGACAGGCCCAAGAAAAATCTTCCAAGTAACAAAAAGTTATCTTGAAGTCTGCTTTTCAGCCAGATGGCCACTGTATCTAAGGAACACTGCAGAGTATCCAGAGCAGAACAGTAGCTGCTCATCCACATTGGCTGAATCAGTGCAGTGATGGGCACTTCCAGAGCCCTAGGAAATTTACATTCTTGGCTTGGACAGAAAGATTCCTTGAGGTGCTTCTTTCTTGCACAGGGGAAATTCCTGTCAAGCGAGGCAAACCTTTTCTTTGAGGCATACAGTGTTCCTATATGAAATGTGGTTTTAATTGGGATCTTTGCTTCCTATCTGTGCCTAGCTGCAGGATGCACTGATTCCCTCAGTGGTGATTCCAGTTAATGAAGAGCTGCACTGGATTTTCTCCTTAGGCTCCAACTGCATTTTTTTGTTACAGGGTCGTGCCTGTGAAGCAGAACTTGCTGTGACTTGGAGGAAAAAGGAGATGATAATGGGGGAAAAAAATGTATTTAGAGGTGAACTTGCTGGGAATGTTCTTGGAGAGGGAGGAGAAAACTCCACACAACAGACAATTTCTATCAATGCAGTTTTTGCTTTACTGCTTGCAAGCAACCCATTGGAGTGTCTTACCACTTACTGTCCTGTGTGTTCTTTTCAATGTAGCCAAGTCCATGGAAAGCCAACAGGAACGAACACAAGCCAGGCTCGCTTTCCTCCAGCCGTGACTCTGCCTTTACCAGTCCAGTGTCTGTAACCAAACCAGCGGTACTGGCAAGTGGCTCAGTCCTCACCTCTCCCAAAGAGGTAAGAAATTGGGTTTGGGTGTAGGAAGGGAACTTTGTCACTGTCACCTACTGTAGCTTCAACAAAATAAGATCTCTCCTGCGCGTGATACCTGGCTTTGTACCCTGGATAACTCACTTGTGCGTTCTTAGCTCATCTTTAGTGCATCTTTGATATGCTAAATTAAGAGATCTGGTTGTAAAGCTATTGCCATTTGGGGTTTGCCCAAACATACTAAAATTTCTTTGCAGTTTAAAAATAAACAACCTCACACTTAATAGCCTTGTGTTGTTGGACACACATGGACTTATGAAATTGCAGATACCAAGAAAAGATGTGCACTGAAAGATAAACTGATTCCCATGCTGTTCTTCAGTGCTTTCTTTTCCTATAAAGTGCAAGTGATCTGCCTCGCTGCTTTTCTCTAGAAAAGCAGCAACACAGGCAATGAGCTTTGAGGGGTTCAGCCTGTAAGGTTTCAGCTTAGTGTCTGCTTTTAACATTGGTAGGAGGTGATCTGCTGAGCCTGAGGCTGGCTTACCTCTGGTTTTGGTGTGATGTGCAGAGAGAATCTTCAAATGTAAATTACTTAATACTTCGGTGGCAACTGTGACTTGATGTGTTTTGGCCAGCATCCTATGGTTCACTTCATAGCTTGTATGCAAAATGCTCTTCTGAATCTTGAAATTCAATGAAGCTTAATAGAAAAGTGACATCAAATAACTTTTCCCCATCGTGAACCAGAAGTTGGTGGTCATAATTAAAAAGTATTAAAATCAAGAATTGACTAATTCAGGAAATTTGTAATTTGTGTGGTTTGCATTTCAAGTGTAATAGCTTATGGGGGGGAGGGTTGAAGTGTTTGCTTTTGGGTTTTTTTCAGTTGTGCATCTGACTTTGTCCTTTACAAAAACCTTCTTTGTCGTGTTTATGGTTCTCTGCTTTGTGGGCTTTACTCTGAAACAACCTGTGCTTTTCTGCTATAGCTGTTCCTGAGTATAAAAGCAGTGATTAAAAAGCCTGCATCTGTCCCTTGAAGAAGTAGATCTGGTGCTGTATCACTTCTCCTTACCTTTTGTCTGTCCTTTGGCTGAGTCTCTGTGCTACTGACAGCCTTCCTTTTTGTGTAATATGCAGTAGAGTACAGACACCTTTACAGTATAAACACGTAAGCCTTATAGGCTTTTACCTCAAGTAGATACCAATGAAACATGCACTTTGTATCATACACTGGTGGCACAAGTGGTCTGGCTGTGTTTTTCATTCTTTCTAAGAAAGTTGTGGCTGAAACTTCAGTCAGCAAAGCTGTTGGATACTGTACTGCTCTGACAGGAGGAGTGCAGCTGGGCTTTTTCTCAGAGCAGTACTTCCTTTAATACTTCTGTTACCAGCGTTAGTCAGCTGAACAAAAAGGGCTACAATTCATCACAGCTGAAATTGAACACTTGCAATGTGTTTTTCTATGAATCTATTGGAGACTGGCAGTGTGGAAACACAGGGCTGTGGCCAGCAAATAATCCAGTAATCCCGGCTCTGCAGGACTACCAATCTGTCCTTTTATTTCTGAGACAGGGATAAAGTCTGTCCCGCTGAAGTGTTGAAGACAGACCTCTGGTCATAAGAGACCACAACCTCTTGTAAGCTGGAAGGTTCTGGGCAGCACTGTGTGGTAGCCAGTGCTTGACAACAGATTCAGGACCGTGTGAAATTTTAAGATGGCGTAGGATGACTTTTGTGTATGAGTGATTGTTCATAGACTGGTGTCTGAACAGACTGGATGTTATGCATTGTTCTCATTTAGAATATCTGAGAGATGCCCTGATATTTCATTCAAATGGCTAAACCTACCTTTAGAAAAGATGCCAAAAACCAACTTTACAAATTTACGTAACAGTCTCTTCTGGTGTTAAAAGCCTTCTAGAGAATCTGAATAAAATGAGAAGAGAAATGAAAGTCAGTTCCCTTTCAGTAATGTTGTAGCAAAAAGCTCAAATGCTTCAGCAGAGCATTCAGAATTACCCACAGATCCTAGTTTTCATTTTCCTTTGCTCACTGCTACCTTCCATCACTTGCAGTCAAACTAATTACCATGTTGAGAGCTTTAAGGATTAAGGTAACTTCTGATCCTAACATTTGGTCATTTGTGTCTTTTACCATTGTTGATTTGCTCAATACAGTGTTAAACAGGGCAAAATAAAGAAGGCTACCTGAGAAGAGTGAGGCGTTATGTTCAGCACGCTTCTCTCAATGGCATTATTGCACACCAGTGTTTTATGTGCAGCAGGCATGAGAAATGTAAGCAGCTGTTGCTGCTTGGTTATGTTTGCTAAATATTTTAGTTTCCTTGATCTTTGCTCAGAGCACCGTGTGGTATGATAACAACACTTTTTTATAAAGGAGATTTATTTTTGAGAGCCTGAATTTACAACCCTCCCACCTCAGCTTAAATTAAAAAAAAAAAGGGGAGGGGAGAAGCCACACGCTTTAGGAAAATGTGCTTTTTTTTTTTTAATTGAGAAAAAGATAAAAATCAAAGCCAGTAAATAAAGGAAAAGAATGTCTTTGCATATGAAGTTCTAGTGTCAGGTATCCACACAAGTAGCTAGGTTCCTTACCAGTAGGCAGCCATGAAGTCCATGTATGAACAGAAGGTTAGCATACAGGAAGGTTTTTCGTGATGTTTTAAATTTTCTTTGCATGGCCAGTCAAAATGATGAAACATGAAACTGGAAGCTCATCTTGCTTATCGCTGTTTTAATTGCACTGTCATGGCTGGGCCACTGCCAACATGCAAACTGTTGTGCCTTATGCCTGGCTCAGAGATTGAACGTAATTAAGAAAGCAGAGCACTGGGGAAGAGTGTGTGAGGTTACCTTGGATTCAGGAATTCAGCTGAGCAGATTTCCTACAGCTCAAGGGCTGTCTGTGCCTGGCCATGCACAGGACCTGGGTTTCCTTGGGTGTCCATAGGCAGGAATCAGCAGTGTGCTCTCTAGGGGAGGAGACAGAGGCTGTGGCTGTTCAGTGTCCAGTTGATTGAAGATGTGCCGCTCCCTGAAAAGAGATTCCCAGCCCAAAGCTTAATTTCAGGGTAGAGGCAGGCAGGATGTCTTAAGACACAAAATAGAACAGAGTCTGAGCTCCCTGATTTTATAATCTTTGTGGACTGAGTCCCACATGAAGCTCTCTGCCCACATTTTCTGTTGTAGTATTCAGCATTACATGTGAAAGAGTTACATTGCCAAGGAACGAAACAAATGTATTCCTGGCCACAGTGATGCCTAGGGAAATTTGGAAGAAAAAAAAAAAAACAAAGTTGGTAGTGATAGGTGGGAGCATAATGTATAGCCAGTTCTTCCCTTACCAGCACAACACCAGTCACTGCTTTGGTGGACATCTGCGACTAGATTCCTTAAGGAGTTCAGATCTAGACCAGGAGCTGATGAGCATTTAATAGTGCAGATCCTAAAAGGGCCTGATCTTCACAACAAGGTACGCTTTCGAGTGTCCATATTCTGCTTGCTTTCTCTAGAGTCCTTCCAGCACCACCCCTCCTATCGAGATCTGCTCTTCACGCTTGACAAAGCTGATGCGTCGCACCACTGATAAGAAGAGCGAATTCCTGAAGGCACTGAAAGATGATCGGAATGGGGAGATAACAGAGAGCAGAGAATGTGACAAGCTGGATGATGTAAGATCACTGTCCTTACTGATGGCTGTTTTTAAGGAGTTGGGTACTGAAAAAAGCAGTGTATGTGATTGGGGCTGTGGGCGTGGAAATGAATGACTTCCCTTGGTCTGACATGCATGCCAGCAGAGGTAGTGAGCAGCAGTGTGATGAAAGGAGATGCATAACATGATGAAATGCAAAAGGATAAGTAATAAATGAGGTGGAAGTGAAGGTGTGACAGATGATGAAGGTAATCTGGGTCTTTGTAAGAATTCTCTAAGGGATGGAACAATACTGTCTTTGATTTCAAACTTCATGTCAAACTACATTCATGGGAAAGTTGAATTCAGTGCTTGTAAAATGTGTAGAATAGAGGCTTAAGGCTCAGGCTTGGACCGGAATCCTAAATGCGTAAGTCTGTGGCTTAATGTGTGTGTAAACTGCAACCTTAAGAGTGGGGTTTTCATGGTTTTCTTACACCGTGGAGGCACTGATGATGGCTTAGCAATGCCAGCACTTACTCCCCTGACATCAAAGTGCAGTGCATCAAAATGTCATCCGTATCGCATTGTCCTGTCACAGCTAGGTAGAAGCTGCTTTCCAAGTTATTGTCAGTCCAGGCTCTGTTGAAAGTCTGACTCAGAAGGCTTTGGTTTACTCCCAAGAGCAGAAAGTTGAACTTGGAAGTATGATATCATGGTGTTCTTTGTGCACTTTGCTTTTATTTTTCTTCAGATGGAGAGCAACAGCACACCAGAACCAAAGGAAAACTGGGAAGAGAATTGCCATCAAAATGGCCTTTCTCTCCCCTTGCCAGAGGAGGGGGAAAACCTCTCTCATTCATTGGAAGCAGAACACAGGTAAGAAAATAACCAAGTAAGGTGTCTGGAGTAAAAGACGGCATGTCCTCGGACTGTGCAAGCTGGAAACTATTCCAAAGAACTTTCTGGGAAGTACACAAAGCTGAACTGGAGGTGTGGGTTCCATTTCTATGTGCTGGACTGGGTGGTGGAGTTTCAGGTAAAACAAACACTGATGACAGCTGAGCCAAGACTTTGCCAAGGTCTGTAATTAAATTCCTGCACTTCCCTCGTGCCACATCCTTGTGCCTTAATGCTGCCTAGGATTTACCTGCCCACGTGGTGAGGCAACATAAACCTAGCAATTCCATTAATTTATTACTGGGTATCCTAAAGGTAATGATCTGGGTTATGAATCAGGTACTTGCATACTCATACTCACTGGTTTCTCTCTATCTGCCCTTGGAATACTCTTGTGCTGCTTTAAATTCTGTGAAAAAATTCTGCAGAAAGTTAAGAAAATTCTTACTTTATATCTCAGTTTGTATCTTATTTTAGTGAGTGACCTGTGAGCATCTGGTGTCAGCGGGTAGTAACTTTTAGAAGATCTTGAGCTGAGTTGCTAGTTTGTCTCACATCCTTCTTCAGTGTCCTTGGGTAGAACTTCAGATCTGTTTGGTTTTTGTCCTTCTGCCAGACTAGTTATTTACCCATTGTACAGAAATGCTGATGATTAAATGTTTGTAGAAGACATTGAGTAAGAAAAATATTGGGTAAATGCTAAACATTAAGTGGTGTGTAGTGCAGAAGATTCCCTGGTGAACTCAAAGTAATTTAATACAAAACCTTGTGTTTCATGGACAGGCTGTTCTCACCTTTGCCTTTGTTCCATTGCTTTAATTCCTGTGCCCTTTTTTTTTTTCTTTTTTCTTTTTTTCATGAATCAGGTTATTGAAAGAAATGGGATGGCAGGAATATCCTGAAAATGATGAGAATTACCTTCCCCTCACAGAGGATGAGCTCAAAGAGTTCCAAATTAAATCAGAGCAGGTATGTTCATAACTCTTGCCACTGCTGTGTAAGTCCTCTGTAGTGCAGTGCCTAGGATGTTGTGGAAGACAAAGAGCAGAAATGAAACTGGATGGCGGTCGGTGACCCTCCATCATCCACAGAGAGCACATGAATATACAAGTGACCACAGAACAGCATCCCCAGGTGGCTGGTGACAGTTACTCTCCGTAGTTGTGCTTATTTTAAAGCTTACTTTCATTCCCACAGCGAAGAAGAAACGGATTTGGGAAGAATGGATTTCTTCAGGGCCGCAGCTCCAGCCTGTTGTTCCACTGGAGAAGCACTTTTAAGACAAAGATTGAGGACTCGGACACAGAAACCAGTAGCAGCGAGACTTCAGATGACGATGCCTGAGAGTGGGCACGAGAAAATTAAAATAAATAAAACCAACCCAATAAACTCAGTTCGTAGTTCAACATGTGTTTGGGGGTTGTATAAACTAAACAGAGTTTATTCTGTCTCCAGTCTGTTCAGTTTTTTCTTCTGTTGATACTTCATGCACAAGGGAAATAATTGTATCCCAAAGAAGAGAGAAATTGGCTTCTTTAGCTTTTTCTTTTGGTTTTGCCCTAATGCTTAATAGAAGTTTGTGCAGCTAGCAAATTTTGACAGAAATCCCTTGTGGGGCAGTGCACAAGTTCAGTCTGGTAAGCAGGATACGAGTGGCTGACTGATCTTTGCAACAACAAGCTTCTAACAGTGCCGCCCGCATTACACAATGTTGTGCGGTAACATGTGCTAAAACAATCATTGTCAATGACAAAATGGCTATTGAAGTTCTAATTATGTTAAATTAATGCTAATAACATGAATTTTTTATTTTATTTTATTTTTTTTTTTGGCGGCTCGGGGAGCTTCATCACTTAACCAGGCGTTTGTGGTTTTCTTTTTTTGGGTACAGCTGTAAAATATTTGGATATAGGAATTGTTTGTGTTCTTCTTCTTGCAGCCTTGATATTCAGGGTGGATTGTAAAATATAAATTTTTTGTGAGATTTCAAAGATTAAGATTATTTTGATAACATTATTTACAGATTTAAAAAAGTGACTATCACATTGAGTCTGTATGAGGGGGAAAAACTACTGCATCAAAAATAACTAACTTGGAATAAATATTTTGCATCAGTTTGCCAATTCTAATTGTCTTTCTTATGTAAGAAAACCTTCCTCTAAAGGGATGTGCAACTTTGGGGTTCAAATAGCACTGGGGATAAAGAGCTGCTTCTCCCACTGTGTTTTTTCCACTTGGCAAACATTGCTGTAGTGCTGGGACTGCAGGAGCTGAACTCTTCCTTTACAAAGGGAGAGGGAGAGAACAATGGAGAGATGGCAGCCCGTGTTCCTTGGTTTTGGTTGGTTTTTGTTTTGTTGTTTTTTTTTTTTAAGAAATTAAAGACAATAATTTGAATTATCTTCCACTCAAGCAGTTTGCTTTATTTTCCGCTTCATACAAAATGGTGGAGCTCGACCGGTCGGTGTCACTGCCTGTTCCTGGTGCAATGCTGCTGTCTGTGTTCACAACGTGGCAAGGGAATGTCTGAATCCAAAGCTGTTTTCATTGAAATCTTTTTTAAAAAATCATGAAAACATTTCTATTAGATTAAAAAGGATTTTACAAACAACTCAGGTGTGGCCTAAGCTATTTCAGTGTCCGTTCAGCTGGGAACACAACCCGCGGGGCGAAGGCAGGTGCGCGGTTGCGGCCGGGGGCGGGCCGGGGTCGCGCCTCAGCGGGGGAGCTGGGCGTCGCGGGGCAGCACGGCTGGGTTGTGTGTGGAGCTGCTGCTGCTCCACGCGGAGAGGAGAGCGCGGCTGTGTGCGTGTGTGATGGGAGCCGGGCCCGCGGGGCTGCGCTGCCGTGAGGCGCTCCCCAGGGCCGATCCGCTCCGTCAGATCGCTTCTGTCTGTGACAGCTGTCTGCCTTCACCCATCGATGGGGAAAGTCGTGAGGAAAAGCGCTACAAAAGCCAAGAAACTGGTAAGTTTAGAAGTCCGTGAGCGTGTATCCGCGCTGACAGCCGCTCGTGAGCAGCGCTGTGTGGAAACGGGCCGTGCCTGAGGCGGGAGCCCTCACGGCTCAGCGGGGAGCGCTGTGAGCGCAGGTGAAGCCAATGAGGCGTTATGCCCTGCGCTGAGGAGAAGGAGAAAGAAGGAGAGGAGAAGAAGAGGAGAGCCTCAGCCCGAAATGGCGGGCGGGCAGCGCGAGGCGGAACGCGGCCTCCGCCAGCTGCCCCGGCCCGGGCGCACCGGGTAGAGACGGGGACCGGAGGAGCGCCGCGGGGGGAGCTGAGAGAGGAGCCCCGAGGAACCGCGCGGTGGAGGTGAGCGCCGGGAGGGCGGCCCGCAGAACAGAGCCGGGACGGGCCGTGCGCCTGGGGCGGAGCGGGGCTCGGCGCCCGTAGCAACGGCGGCCTCAAACACTGCAGGCGCGTCCCCGAGCGGGTCGACGCGGACGGCCCGGAGGAGGGAGGGCCGCCGAGCCTGGCCGAGGGGCGCGGGTGTTTTGCAGGAGTCCGATGGCGGCCGCCGGAGCCTTCATCTGCCCGCGCTGCCGCATGGCCTTCGGCTCCCGGGCGCTGCTAAGGGCGCACCGCGAGCGGCTGTGCCTCGGCGGGCCGGGGGAGGAGGCGGGAAGGACGGAGGGACTGCGGGACCCCTCGGTAGTGCGTGGCCGGGCTTGGGCGCGGGGCGGGGACGCGTCCGCGGGCGAGAACGCGGGCTGCGGCCGCGGCTCCTCCGAGAGCAGCTGTGCCGCCCGTCCGTCTGTTGTTGAGCAGTTCCCGCCCTCCCGTCCCGTTTGCTTCTTCAAGGTCGCGGTGTCCCGGCACGAGGATCGCCCCAAGCACCGCCGTCTGCTCCCGCTCACCGGGCTCCCTCGGTTCTCTGTGGGACGTGAGGGCCCGGGGCGAGCCCGCGGGGCACCGCTGGGTGACGTTCTCACGCCCCGCGAGCGGGCGCTGCTCCGTGCCCCCGCTGCCAGCCGACCAGCAGAGCGGGTGAGACCGCCCCACCGGCCCCATTCGCCTGCAGCATAGTGCGGGGTCACCCCCGTCTCGTGGGCTCGGCCCCTACAGCCGTGGCTGCCTCTGTGCCCCAGGGAGAGCCCGGCCCGCCGCGAGGGGACCCACGGGCACCGGAGCTGCTGGAGGCTCATCAGCGCCACGTGGCTGAAATCCGGGCCAGGACGCAGCAGCTAGAGCAGCACAGAGAGCGTAGGCACCGGCACGGGGTGCGGGGCGATGGTTGTGGTTCTGGAGTGACCAAGCTGTGCGTCCCACAGAGCTGTGCCAGCAGCTGGCATTGCTGTGCAACAAGCATCTGTCACCAGAAATGAGTTGGACTGCAGAGCTGCTGCCAGACAAAGCTGGACACCAGCACCGAGGGTGAGCCCTGCTGCATGCTGCCTAGAAAGGGCCCATTGCCTGCTGGGCCCCTGTTTGCTCATATCCTCCTCAGGGATGCCCTACACCTCGACGCCCTCCTGCCGCCCTCTGGGCCGCTGGCAGCTGAGGCCAGGTGAGAGCTGAGGGTGGGGCGGGAGCCCAGCAGAACCCAGCAGATGCTCATGCCAGCATCATGGCAGGGCTCTGCGGCTCTCCTACCTGCGTGCTGGTGGCCGTGACGAGGCCACCCTGGCACAGATGTTAGACCTCCAGCTGGAGGCCATGGCACTTGAGAAAAACGCTGCACAGAAGATGAGCAAGTACCAGCCCCAGCGCAGAGCCCAGGGACGGGATACCATCACTGTTGAGGCGGCACGGGGCCTCGATGCGGCGCTGATGGCTGTGGAGCTGGAGAACCAGCGGCTCGAGGATGAGCTCCTGGCATTGAAGGTCCGGAGGGAGATGCGAGCTGATGTTGGTGGGTGACTGGGAAATGGAGCAATGCCCATTTGTCTGTGAGGCGGCAGCTGAGTGTGTCTGAGCTGCTGTTCCCCAGGATCGCTGGCAGCCCGGCAGAATGCAGAGCTGGCTCAGCTGAAGGCAAATGTGGAGATGCTGCTGCGACGCCAGGCAGAGGGGATGGAGCCGCACCCGCCCCCCGTCGTTCTCCCACCGCCCGTGGCCCCTCCGCTCCCTCCAGCCTTAGCGGTGAGTCTGGTCCTCGTGTTGCAGGGTAACTCTCACCTTGGGAGGGCCTTTCCAGGGTGCTGACTTGGTACTTGCTCCCTGACTGCACTGGGGCGCGTTCCCTGTGTAAGTGCCAAACTGCAAGTGTGATTTGCTCCCGGTGCCCAGGGGGCCCACCCCCATTAAAGCTTCCTTTTTCTTTCTCCAGGAGCCAATAAGGACAAGCAGCCCCACAGCCTCCAGCCGCCCACTTGCGCCCTCCAACCTCCCCGGCATCTTCTTTGGAGCCCTGGATGACCCCCCTCCTACTCAGGAGGCACCAGCTCAGCACAAAAGCCCTGAGAGGTGAGGTCAGGATGAGCTGTGCCCTGTCCCATTGCTCAGGCAACAGTGAGAGCTGCTCACCCTGACTTTTGATAAGGGACTGTTTTTGTGACGATGCTCACTCACATTCTTTTTCCCCCCTCCCCTACTGCTCATTCTATTAAGACACATCTCAAGGTACATTTAGGAAAAGCTTAACAGGAGGCATTCAAGGCTCAAACCAAGGAGCAGCAAAACCCGTGGCAAGATTTCCTCTATCATCCTGGGGCTTGTGGTGGGTGTGTGAAATAAATGGCTTCTACCTACAGCTCTTCACCTCCTGGCCTTTTTCAGCGTACAGACTATGAAGTTTGCAGTCATATCCTGAAGAACAGAGCTGTACTACTGCTGCCAAGTCAGATGACACAGAACCAGCACCAACTTTGCAAAATGCAGTTCAGCCATAGCAAGCCAGGAGTGCAGGGAGGGAGCACACAGGGACTGCAGCCTTCTGCTGCTGCAGCACACAGGAGCAGGGATGGGACCACACCACAGTAACTGGCCAGAGAGATGCTAACAGCCTTGCCTCCCCTGCACCTTCCTACAGGCTCAGGGCTTACACTGCCTCCTCTTGCCCCAGCTCAACCCTTTTGCAGCTCTATGTAGAAAAGCAAGGCTGCAGCACAAAAGCAGGGAGGAAGGAGCTTGAGAGAGGAAGAGGGTCAGAACAGGGAACATTTGCTTACAATCTTTATTGAAGTCATACAAAAGTTGCCAAAAAGTGAAAAAATACACTATATACAAAACCATTTTCCTTTGAAGGAGAGGAGTGTCCAAAGCTAAAGAATTATCATACTGTGCTTTCAACTGCAGCCCCTGGTTCTGCTTGTGGCCTTTTCTCTGTCTAAAAGGAAAGAGAAGTATTTGATTTTTAAAAATCAAACACTGCATTACAGCACCAACTCATGCAGCAGTCAGTTTCTTTAATTTCAAGACGTAACCATGCATGCTTTGCTCATCGCCAGAGCCCAGAACTACTCTGAAACAGTAAAAATTGTAGGCCAAGTTAAGGATTTCAAAACCTTTAAACTTTCTACTACAGAAACGCTCTGGAGAAGGGCTTCGTGCTGTTGTTCAACCCGAATCACACATGCAGGGCCCCAGCACGTTTCTGTCCCACCCTTTGGCTGCAGGTTGCCAAAGCTGGCATCTTCCCAGCTCACTCAGTGTCAGACACCTCAGTACAACATGCAGCTTGGGAATATTCCCCATCTTGTGGGAAGCTTCTGAAGACCAACAGGCAATAAAGTATATCAGCAACAGATGAAACCATGCACAAAACCATGCCTGAACAGAGGGGGAAGAAAAAATATATATATATATGCACAGAGTCCTGACTCAACTGCCCACCTCCTCTTCCATTTTTTCTGCAACCTCATTTCCACTGGGGGCAGCGTCACCACCGCCACCATTGACAGCCGGTTCTGCTTTAGATTTCTTAGCTTCATTGTCTCCCTGGTGGGTCTCCTCCTCTGGTTTCCTCTGAAGACAAAATTGTTTAGTCTTCACTATGTACAAATTGAAGTATTTTTAGAAAGTTAGCATCTAGATATCATTATACATTACTTACTTAAGCTCTACTTGCCAGGTTCAAGAACTTAAGCGTTAGGATTTAACCAAAGCTCTGAAGCACAAACATCTCAACATATAACCAGAAGGATTATGCAAGTGCCAGTAGCTACAGTGCTGAATTATCCTTATACTTTGACAGGGGAATGAGCTACTGTTGAGCTAGGTAACAGCTAAGTGAATAGAGGCTATTTACAATCACCTGTGTAAAGCAGATCAAAGCTGCTGCTGACAGACTTGAGCTCAAAGCAGGCAGTGTAACACAAGGCAGGCTGTGTCATAACAGTTTGTAATATAAAAACTAAGAGCCCATACAGGATAACTAGCAGTATGAACAACTCTGGAAAGTCCCTATACTCTTAAAGGAACCTTGTATTCAACATATCCTGTTCTCTGAGTAAGAGACAGCATGGCTACACACTAGGGCTGGCTTTGCTATTTTTCAAGTTCAATTCTCTGTTTCCACTTGGAAAGAAGGGAACCCAACTCAGCCTGGTTGTGTCTTCATCTTAATTTTTCAGTATCTACAGGCTGCCCTGCTCCTCCTGCAGTTCCTCCAGAGCAGGGCATCTGCTCAGGGGACATCTCCAGAGGGCAAACAATTCAGCCTGCAATTACATCACTGTGGTCAGGCACGGTGCTGACCCAGCACCAACACATCTGGAGCTGGGCGGTTCCCACACTGATCACCTCCCAGTGGAAAGGAGTTTTACACACTGTTTTTGTTACTACTTTTAAGTGTTCTTCCAGGCTCCATAGTAAAAGCTCTAAGCCAAGAAATCCAACTATAGAGGGCAAAACGCCAATACTCTGACAAGCTGTTTATTCTCTTGGTCATTGCTGGACTCACCTTTTTCCTGACCAGGTGAGAGATGTCTGTAACACACTGAGATGCTCCATCAGCAGCTTTTCTTACTGGAATCTATTAAAGAACAGACACTGACACGTCAATAACAGCAAGCCATAATCCTTAAAGCAGACATGAATTCTCAGCAACTTTCTCTGCCCAACTTACTGTAGAAACAGAGCCGCTGCCCTCACTTTGTGCAAAACCAGATGTAGTTCCAACCTAGAACAGCAGAGAAATAGTTAACAACACCTACTGTCACCTATTCACAAAAGGCCAGTACACAGTTTAGGAAATGGCAGGAAATCCAACTGTGTCTTACTGCATTCTACTTCTGCACTTACATACAGCAGAGACAGAACAAAAGCTCGTGTAGCAGTGTAACACTCAAGTCTCACATTTGACTCAGACTTATTGCTTAGAACCCTAACAAATTCAAGTTTAGGTTGGAACAATTAATTTCAACATATTTGCTATTAATCCTATCGTTAGATTTAACTGCATTAGTTAACTTCTTGCTCTGTGTGAAGTCTCAGCTTCTCCCATTACTGGTTTACTTCAAGCCTCGCTAGAAGAACGTTTGGTTCAAAGGAAAACACAGGATGCACTAACCAGAGTTGCTTTCAATGCCAGCTCAGCTACCCTTGCACTCTTTTGAGACTCCTTTGAATCCTCTATCTTTTCTTTGATTTCAGGGAGGAGTCCCTTCAGTTCTTCAATCTCCTTCTCATCTTCGGGGGAACCACTTTCTGCCTTCTTTATTCGTTCAGTAAGCATTGCTGGAATGACAAAGTTACCATGGCAAAAAAAGCCTGAAGGCAAAGCAGCTGTCTCATTACAAACACCACAGGGGCAAGTGCCCACCAACAGATGCTGTTCTGACAGTCCTGATGTTGGTATGGCCTGTTAGTGAACATTTGCATTGCAGACTAGGTTTAGGGCAATTTAAAGTTAGTGCTGACCCACAAAAGCCCTTTAGTTAGCGAGGCCATTTTGGAGAACTTACCCATTCTCTTGTCAATGACTTCTACAGATTTACCAAACTGCTGGACTGCCTCATCAAACTGGCTGTTGTAGTGGTAGGCCAGGGCCAGCTGGTAGTGGCTTTCAGCCAGCAAGCGGTCATGAGCTTCCAGGTATTTCTGCTGCAGGGCCAGACAGGCCTGAAACTCCTCTATAGCTTGCACATAGTTCTCTATAGAAGCAAGACACAAAGTCTTTACAAAGAACGTATTTTACATATTTCATTCCACCTGATGTGGTCTGAAAAGAGAACTGTTGTGGAATACAGGCTGAGCTCAGTAACAGCATGCTTCCCTGTCGTCAAATGACAGTGCTCGCAGTCCAGCACTGCTTAGGGTCCACTTCCCCATCTCCTCTCAAGGGGGCTCTGCGTATTTACAACACAGTAACCTAAGGAGGCTTTCCCAGTTTCTAAAGCTAACCAAATCTCCATGAAACAATGCTGTGTTCTGCTTTAGCCTGATAGTACACCACTTCTAACACAAAGCTCTTTTGCTGCTCCAGGGAAGCACAGTACAGCCTCTTTAAGAAACTTCCTTGGGTCCCCCATTAAGAAGTTTATCCTATGGCTGTACTGTTATAATTAGACAAAATTGAGCTGTTTTCATTTTTAACCACTCCCCAACCTTCTCAGCCTTAAGTCACCTCCACTCATTTTTGAGTGTGAAATTAAACATGGCAATATGTAACTTAGCACTTCACACACAACAATTAGCACTACTTACCAGATTCAATGCTGACTTCTCCTAGCTTTAGATGAGCTTGAGCTGCATGAAGCTGAGCTTCTTTTGTTTCTTGCCTAAATCAAGGGAAAAAAGCTGTTTTCAAGACTTCAGAATATGCAGCATCATGCGACACCACCTCCCAACTGAGGGAGTTTCTCTAGCAAACGTTCAAATTACAGCCTTAGATTTTACCTCTTATAGATGACTTTGGCCAACTCCAGCATGTCCCAGGCTAGCTCAAGATTTCCAATTTCTTCCTCCTCACTTTCCTGTAAAGACCAGAAATGCATAAAATATTAAGCTACTTGGATACATACCACATTAAACAACTTTATGCTTTTAAGCAGAATGCATTTAACCAAGAGATGAATGCTTTGCTGATAAAAGGAGAAATGTGTAACAGTTCATTATATCAGCTCACACTTTGCATGTTAGTATGAAGGTGTTAAAGTGGAACTTAAATTTACATTGTCAGTTGATATGGGCTCCTCTCTCTCCTCCTGCCCCCAGAAATAACAGGATACAGAATACAGGATAAGCAGCAATTTTCTCCTATCAGTAAGTTTTTTAGTGTGAACTGCTACGTCAAGATAATTCACCAGATTTAAGCAGTGTTACACCTGCCACTGGATTCTCAGTCTCTATCACCACTTACTGGACTGAGTGCACTCAAACTAAGTAACCAGACAGCAAGAACAGACAAAGAACTGTTACAATTAACTTCAGTGAGAAACCAAGGCCAGCCTCCCCTCAACCAGGCTGCCTCAATGACCTACAGAGCACAAGCATTTATTTCAGTGCAGCTGAACAAGCACCAGTTTACAGACAAAAATCCAACGACCCTAATGGCCCTGTTAGCTACCACTGGTTTCACCACACAGAACGTATTTCCTGTACAGGACTTAACAAAATACACGTGAGCTTTCACAAACTTAACGATCTTCACATGACATTTAGACAGACATTGCATTCAGGAGCACCAACACCAGAGCTCAGCAACCTCACCTTGTCTTCCGCTGCCAATTCGTTCTCCTTGTCATCTTCAGCTTTCTCATTTTCTTTATCTTCGTCTTCAGATTCTTCTGTTTCTGGGAGGAAAGCAGA